AAGAACATGAAACAATGGGTGTTTACCATATATACTGTAACAAGAGTGATCACTTAAGGTGAGCTATTACCAGCAGGAGAGCGGGGTTAGCGTGTGGGGGAACCTTTTGTAGTGATAACCAAGAGGGGCCATTTCCAACAGTAGACAAGAATATCCTGGAGGAGGGGGAAGAAAGGAATAAACATGGGAAATAGTTTTACTTTGTGTAATGACCCATCCACTCCCAGTCTTTATTCAAGCCTAAATTAATTGTATCCAGTTTGCAAATTAATTCCAATTCAGCAGTCTCTCAGTGGACAGTCTCTATGTAAAAGAATAAATGGACACAAATCAGATATCAAGAATTATAACATTCAAAAACCAGTCGGAGAACACTTCAATCTCTTTGGTCACTCGATTACAGACCTAAAAGTGGCAATTCTTCAACAAAAAAAACTTCAGAAACAGACTCCAATGAGAGACTGCTGAATTGAGGCTTGAATAAAGACGGAGTGGATGGGTCATTACACAAAGTAAAACTATTTCCCCATGTTTATTCCCCCTCTGTCCCCTCGCCCCCCACTGTTCCTCAGACATTCTTGTCAACTGCTGGAAATGGCCCACCTTGATTCCCCCCCCTCCACCCCGATCTCCTGCTGGTAATAGCTCACCTTAAGTGATCACTCTTGTTACAGTATATATGGTAAACACCCATTGTTTCATGTTCTTTATGTATATAAATCTCCCCACTGTATTTTCCACTGAATGCATCCGATGAAGTGAGCTGTAGCTCACAAAAGCTTATGCTGAAATAAATTGGTTAGTCTCTAAAGTGCCACAAGTCCTCCTTTTCTTTTTGAGCCATTGGTAAGCAAAGCATTTTTCATATAAAGAAGGAACATTTTAAAAAAGCCTCTGGGCACCTAGTGAAATTGTACACATCCTTTCTATGCTTAGAGGAGTCAGAATTTGGGGTCAGATCAGGGGCAGATGTAGCATCCTGATTCATTTGGTGCACAATACTAAACTGCCAAAGGGGCATCAACCAGCCGCAGCAGCACCCATGGACCAGCACCACTACCCTAAAAATGGCCCGGTGTGGAGGGGGAAATCCCAGTGCAGGGGTGCTGGAATGCGAGCCTGCCCCATGCTCACGGTGCAGGCCTCAAATTTGGGTCTGGCTGCCCCTTCCGCATGAATCTTTACCAAAGTGAACCCATAGCTGATCTCTTCTTATCAGATACTAACAGGCCTCTACTGTATTATGTTTTTCTCTCTGCTTTCCTACACAATATGGCAAAATTATTTGTTGCCTGGCCCCATCCCCTTTTTCTTTGTCTGTTTGCTTTTGAGTGAATTCAACTGTTTGGGGGGAGGGAGGAGCCCATGCACCCACCTATATTGTTTAAGTTGAAGCATAGGTTGCTAAAGAACATGCCTGACATCCTACAATGTTTGTACTTATCAGAGGAGGAGGGGAAAGGTGCTATTGACTTTAATTACAAAACAGTGTTTTAATCTGACAGCCATCTACCAAGAAACTTTAGAGAACAGGAACTAGCTTTCTCTCTCTAACTCTCATGTTCCCATTACTAATGTAGACTATAAAATAGATCCCTCTAGAGGACACAAGATCACAGTGGTAAGAACCTATTGACTTACTGAGGCAATTGCCTTTTCCCCTTGAGCCTTTACCCTTGCCCTTCACGTCCCAACATGTCTTCCCAAACCTTACCCATTTCTCACACACCGTTAGGTGTGGCCCTGTATTGTGCAGAAGTCATATGTGCAAGGTAATCAGGCTTCCATAATTTGCACATCTGGGAATGTTTCAGAAAATTCTGTTTAAGGGGTATACACACACATTGTTCTTGGAGGGCACCTTGGTACTCAGTCAAAGTGCCCACATGAAAAAACAGTAAGGTAAACAAACCCTCATTAATAAGCAAAGAAGCCTGGGTGTATCTTGATGGCATAATTTGAAAAGTCAATTAACAAAACTTAAATCAGAGCCTGATCTTCAGCTGCTGTAAATGGGTATAGTCAGTGGAGCTGTGTGGGTTTACATGGGTTGACAATCTACCTTTAGTGGCTTAAGAACTCCACAAAGGAATGTTGACTGTGTTTGTCTGGAATAGTGAAACTTTGGGAATTTTACAGCATTCGATGGCCTCTCACACAAACCTTACAATGTGTAGTGATTTACTGCTGTTGCACTGAGCACTATAAAACACTAACATGGAAAAGGTTAAAGGAAACTGTCTTTAAATAAGATAACTTTTCAAAAATGTCAGTAAAATGGGTTTTAAAAAAAAATTAAAAGCCTTGAAAGGTGGCTTCTCTTTTGGAAAACTTTGCAAATGCTTAGCATTTGTCGCCTTCTCTCAGCCCAACAAAGTCACCTTACTTCACAGAATATGGACTATATAGCGAAACTTCAACACTGTCTTGGGCAAAGGGCAGTTTTCAAGGGCAGGAATAGTTAAATAGAGAAAAAATTGACATTCTATAGAAAGGACCCTTGCTTCTCCTCACTGAAACCAAGCCGGGGGTGGGGGAACATCAGCAGAATAGAAAATATTTGTCATTAAAGCCCATGGATGAAGCATTATGTGTGAGCTCTTTTGATGGAAAATGTTATGGCCAGTTTTTTCAAAAGTGGTTGTCATCCAAACAAGTGGCTTTAAAAGTTGGTCTTATTTTCACATGGAAAGCTTTAGTAGTGTTCCCGCATTTGGCAATAGCCGGCACTTGGCTTTTGCAGAATCAGTGGAGAGGGGTCATAGCTAAAGGGCCCAGGCCCATGAAGCGCTCAGAGAACGCCAGCTAAGTGCTTGCTGCACTTATTAATTTCAGTGGGATTCAAAGGCACTCATCTTATGCCAGGAGTAGCTCCTCATCTCGCAACCTCAAAAACCCACTGAAGTATTCTGGCTCAACTTTGGTCTTTTCCATCTCCAAATGAACAAAAAAAATGCAAACTAAATAAAATGAGACAAAAACCAATGACTACAAGAGATCTAGACTTGGGGATGATGTTGGGTTAACCAAGGAAAGAAAGAGTTCCAGGCATGAAGGTCATTGTGCACAGGTGCGAGGATCCACTGTTGTACTACAAGCAAAAAAACCCTATCTATCACCAGCACAGCATAGTTCTTTGGGATGAGGAAAAAGAGAAGAAAGCCAGTTGGAAACACTCGAGTGCACAAGTGGATCCAAAATATGTGGCTGCTCCAGAGTAAAATTTTCAAAGTTTTTCCTAACAATAGAATGACCATCTTAATAGTAGCTACGCATTTCAGCAAGGGGGAGGAAGGGGAAACACATTTTTTAGGTGGCACTAAACAATTGTATTAGAAACAAAAAGGGCAAGTGATGCCATGATGGTTACAAACTAGATATCTGAATCCCCTGCAATTTCTTTGTATTATGATACTGAGTATTGTACTCTTTCGTTCCTGCCAACAGAAAGGAACCAAACTGAAAATGAGAAAGACCTAAAATCTTTATTTACAGCCTATGATGAAATGAGAAGGTGCAGTAGAACTCTGTCTTTAATCTTGCTAAAAAAACAAACTGAAACAGCCAGCCAGAAAAAGAAGGGCTCCACAGGGAAGGAACAACAGCGTGACACAAAAGTCCCACAGCCATGTCTGAAAGTGCCAGAAAAACAAAGGATTCCAAAGTTTTTTATCTTTTATAATTATTAAGAAGTGCAAAGAAGCCAGACAGACTGATGAGAGATGGGGTACAGGATGTGAATCCCCACCTGTAAAATGGGGATAATGCCATGTAATTACCTGCCTCACAGGATTAATTCATGTTAATTAGTACTTTGAACATGAAAGGCATTATAGGAGTGCTAAGTATTATCATTAGCAAGAGGGAACATCCAGGTTCTGTTAAACCTCAGCGCACATAGTTTCCAATATTTTACATTCCTGCTAGCTAATCTGCAATCACACTCTGACATGTGCTATTGCTTTTGGGCCAGCTCCTCAGCTGGGATAAATCATTGAAATCAAGGGACCTACACCAATTTATGCCAACTGAGAATAGGGCCCTTTCCTCTATGCATTATCAATACAATTGAGTTAAAAAAAATATGGGAATAAGTTTCATCATGGGGTCTGCTACAGAACAAGTATTACCAACCTTAAGACAACTGTTCTTCACATAACAGGCAACACTGTGGGAGAAATTTTCAAAAGCACCAAAGAGCGAGAAGTACAAGTCACATTAAAAGTCAATGTGACTTGTGCTTCAAACTCTTTTTCATGCTTATGAAAATCTCCCTCTACAGGTTTCTGGAGTTTTTATGGATGTGGTTACATGAAATAATTAACCTTTCTATAAATGTATATTCTGGGGAAATATGTGTCTGTATCTGGAGTAGGTATATAGATGTGTAGAATACAAAACAAAATGAAAAACAACCTCACCTGGTTTGGGGTTTATAGTCAATTTTTAAAGTCAACCCAACTTCACTAAGATGTTCAGGAAGGTTTGTAAGCCTTTCACTCAAACCTGGACTAATTAATTAAAAAAATGCAAAACTTGCAGCTTCTCATGACTCCAACATAAACTCAAGTTGAAACATGGATATTTTGACTGACTTTTCACTTTGTGTTTTTGCGTGTGCTTGAACTGGAAATTTGGATCAAAAATCTAGGTAAAAATCATGTGAATTGAAACTTTGGAGAACCAGAACTGCCAAACTGTGCAGTGTTCTAATTATCTGCTGTAGGATTCATACAAGGTTTATGCGCTTGGCAACATTCAGGGCACACCCGGAGTGTTGTGCTGGACCTGTGCACACACAGCTCCTTTCAAGGGCATCAACCTTGGAATCTCGCCCAGATGACATGAACCGTGGGAAGCCTCCCAGGACTGGGCTCAAGGCCCGAGAGCAAGGAATGCGGTAGATAGAAACTGGTAAATAAGAATGTTAAACAAAGCCAGTGTATTCCTTTTATCTGTTGGAGAATGTAATACGCGGGGGGAGAGAAAGAATAAAGGGGAAGGTGGAAAGCTGACAGACAGAAGCCTGTTAGCAGACCAGCCGCTTGCTTGCTAAAAGCTCTGTGCTGTCTTGTCATTGAACCGCCACAACTGGCGCCCAAATGTGGGGCCCTCAGCACTCACCTCGCCCGGCAAGGGTTTCAGACGCGTCACTCATCCGCTTCGTGGATCCCGGTGAGTATTTTTCATTGTGGTAAGTATGGGAAGCTCCCTCTCTGCTTTGCAAGTGCAACACCGCAGTGAGCTACAGTATTTGCTGCGTAAGGCTCAGCATGACTGCCCCACTCGAGAACTCACTCTCCTGCTACAGGAGGTGCGTGCCCAATGCCCGTGGTACCCTGAAGCCGGAACCCTTAAGCTAGCGGACTGGGAGCGATTGGGCCAGACATTGCACAAAGAGCCTCGGGCGCCCGTGCAGGCTCTACATGCCTGGCACCTCTGCAGCGACGCGATACTGCGTGTCGCCTCGGACAGGCCCGCCCTCGCGAGGCTGGTGATCTCGCCACGCCTGTCCGCTCCTGCAGCCATCCCCCCTCCTGGCGATGCGACACAGCGTGTCGCCTCGGAAAGGCCCTCTCCCGCGCCAACAGAGGGGCTGCCGATCCCGCCACCCCCATCCGCTCCTGCAACCATCCCTCCCCCTGCTTCGCCCCCAGTGCCTCTATTACCACCGCCTCCCTGGCCTTCCCCACCGGAGCTGGTGTGTGATCACCATCCCACCGTGGTGCCCCATGTTCCGGGGCCCCCCGGAGGGTCATCCGCGTCTGCTCAGTGGCTTTCGCTGGTGCAACAAATGGTTCACGCAGCGAAGACTCGCTCAGATATTACAGCGGAGGAGTTGGCTGATCTGGTCTCAGTTTGTTCGGTGACCTGGCAGGATGATGGCCAGGGCAACCAGGTTGCAAACTGGGTCAGTTTGCCCTACTCGGTGATCAGAGACGTAAAGAAAGCGATTCGCGAGTTCGGCCTCACTAGCACGTATGTAAGTGGTCTCATTGAAGGGCTAGGTACTGGGTACACCCTGATCCCTGAAGATTGGAAGGCGCTGTTGCGCATGATGTTAACACCCAGTCAGTATGTTATTTGGCTTAGTGAGTATCGGCAGATGGCGGAACGCCAAGCCCAGGTATATAGAGAGCAAGGTATCATTTATGAGCAGTTGGCAGGGGAGGGCCAGTTTGCTACTGTTCAGATGCAGTCTCAACTCCCTCAGGCCGTCTTCCCCATTATTTCCACCTGCGCCCAGCATGCTTTCCAGAAGGTCCCGGATTCAGGCAAGCCTACCAAAAGCTTTGCCAGTATCTGTCAGGGTGCATCAGAGTCCTTTATGGATTTTACCAACAGATTGCAGGAGGCTATCCTCCAACAGGTGGATAACCCTGCGGCAGCTCAGGAGATCCTGTTAAAACTGGCGGTTGAAAATGCGAACGAGGATTGCTGCCGTGGTCTCCAGGCGGCACAAGCCACTGGCATTCTAGAGCTGTCAGACATGCTGCGGGCGTGCCAAAACATCGGAACTCAAGCACATAAAGCTGGAGTTCTGGCCGCCGCCCTGCGGAAAAGCGGGAAGGAGGGGAAGCGTTGTTACCGCTGTGGAAAGGAGGGTCACTTTCAGCGGGAGTGCCGCTCATCGACGGCGCCCGCCCGCCCCTCAAAGAAGTGCCCCAAGTGTCGGAAGGGCTATCACTGGGCTAATCAGTGTCGTAGCGGGTCGGGAAACTGCACGGCGGGTCCCCCCCGAACCCAGGGCCAAACGGGGGTGTTTCCCACTCAGACAACTGTTCCTCTGCTTTAAAACCCATAGACTCCATGAAGGCGGCGACTGCCGGAAGTGCAGGGCTTGATTTGATTATGCAGGAGGACGCTGATTTTCAGTTGCCGGGGGAGGTTTGTGCCATACCTACCCAGGTGACGGGACCTCTCCCTGCCGAATTTGTGGGTCTGGTTCTCCCTTGCTCACACGCTGGGAAACAGGGCTTTTTTGTCATCCCAGGGGTCATTGACGCCGATTACAACGGCGTTATTAAGGTTCAGGTGTGGACCCATCTTCCGCAGTCGCTCCCGCGTGGACGGTCAATTGCGCAATTGATTTTAGTCCCCTATCAGGTGCCAGCTGAAGAGGATCGAGCCCGGGGCGGAGGCGGCTTTGGATCAACTCTGGCTCAGTCGCCATCTCACAACACGTCCTCTCCACTTGTTGCTCTAACAATGTCGGTCCGCCCCTCGAAACCTCAGTTAACACTTCTCTTAAATAATGTTCCTTTTACAGGGCTGGTGGACACTGGAGCTGACGTTACGGTGATTCGTGATCCGGAGTGGCCGGTCAGTTGGCCAACAGTTCCTTCTAAAGAGTTGTGGGGGATTGGGGGTAGCAAACCCGGGCGCCAAAGTTTGTCTTGGGTCACGGTCTCTAAACCAGGAGGCCGTGCCCTTGCTACAATCCGCCCTTTTGTACTCCCTGTCCACCTCAATATTTGGGGCCGTGACTTACTTACAAAGCTGGACACCACCCTCGATATTAATATATAATGGCCCGAAATCCTCCCTCACCCACCTTGCCATCCGCATTACCATTAGTATGGCAATCCTTAGAGCCTGTATGGATTGACCAGTGGCCCCTCCCCCTAGAAAAGCTGAAAGCGCTTCATTCACTTGTACAATAATATTTGCATGCACAGCGCTTGGAGAGCTTTACTAGTCCTTGGAATTAGCTGCTGTTATTTTGGCCTTTTAACTTTTTGGTGATTGTCCCTTTAATTTGATTGTGGACACGCATTATGTTTATCAGGTAATTGATCATTTACCCCTTGCCCTTATTACCCCTCAGGTCGATGCAGACCTCCTTCGCCTGTTTTTGTCTTTACAGTATCTCATCACCACTCGTAATTTCCCGTACTTTGTTGCTCATATTCGCAGTCATACCCCTCTGCCTGGGCTACTCACTGAGGGCAATGCGCGCGCCGATCGCGCGTTATGTGGTGAGGTAAATTCTCTTTTTTCTGACCCCATTGAAAGCCATGCCTTTTTTCATCAGTCTGCCTCTGTTTTGGCCCGGCAGTTTCACATTCCTGCTGATCATGCACGTTCCATTGTTCGTTCCTGCCCCACTGTGCTGCTGCTGCTCCTACTTTCTCTTATGCCGTTAACCCCCGAGGTACCGCAGCAAATCAGCTGTGGCAAATGGATGTTACTCATGTGCCACAATTCCGCCCCTATTCATTTTTACATGTTTCCATTGATACCTATTCGGGATTCCTCTGGGCAACCCCACAGCATGGGGAAGCCACTCCTAAAGTTATTCACCATCTGCTAGCCTGTTTTGCTGTTATGGGTCACCCGAGCCAGATAAAAACAGATAATGCCCCAGCCTACTGCTCCACAGCCCTTTCCACCTTTTGTGTCCAATGGGACGTCCATCTCACACACGGGATCCCTTATAATTCCCCTGGCCAAGCCATTGTTGAACGTGCAAATCACACGCTAAAAACCTTGCTTGACAAACAATTAAAACAAGGGGAGCTCCGTCTCCGAACCTTAGGAGACATTCAGCAACAAATGCATATCCTTTTGTTCACTTTAAATAATTTAACGCTGAACACAGATCAGCAGACCCCCACGAATCGGCATTTTCACAAATCCAAGGTACTGGAAAGACCGCGTGTCTTTTACCGTCAGCTGCCCCATCCGCAATGGTTGGGCCCAGTGCCTCTAATTACTTGGGGTCGGGGATATGCTGCTGTGTCTCTCCCTGCAGGACCGTTGTGGGTTCCGGCCCGGTGTGTGCGACCGGCACTGAAACAGCATGGCATGGCACCAGGGGCTGTCGAACCCCATACCAGAGTTTCAGCTGACCTTGGAGGAGAACGCGGTGCCTCCCGGGTCGACAACAGCGGGATGGAAACGGAGGAGGCGTAGCGTCCCAAGCCGGTCCGTGACATGGGGAGCAGTAAAAGCATTGGTCGCCGCGGCTCAACGAAGACTGGCAGCAAATCAACACCAAGAGACTTCTGAGGCTTTGTTTGTGGCAATTCTCGCCCAAATTACTGCTAATTCTGTATTGACTGTATGCCTTTTGTGCCTGCTATTTCCTGTAGGGGTTGGCTCGGGAGCGCTTTCTCCGTTACGAGCCCGAATGACATATAACCTATGGGAAAGATTGGCTTCAATAGCAAATGTTAACCACTTTTGTTTATCTGATTTTGTAGCAGCTGAAGAATTGTTAGGTACGTGCCTTATTCCAGTATGTCATCACCCTGAGGAAATTGGGAATGAGATGATGCTCGCTGCTTACTCGAACCTCTCTTCCCAGTACTCTAGCATGGCTAATTGGGGCCCGGCCAATTACACTTTACCTTCTTACGCTCATTTTTTGCTGTTGCTGTGTGCAATGTATTTCCTTTTTGTTAAGGCTTTGTCGAGACCTGCCCTGGCAGGCTCCACGAGTTATGACCTTGTCTGTCTGGGAGTTAATTGGCTTGCAAAAGCAAATTGATGGCTACCATGAGATGGCCGAGTACAAATAAACAAAAAAGGAGGGGATGTAGGATTCATACAAGGTTTATGCGCTTGGCAACATTCAGGGCACACCCGGAGTGTTGTGCTGGACCTGTGCACACACAGCTCCTTTCAAGGGCATCAACCTTGGAATCTCGCCCAGATGACATGAACCGTGGGAAGCCTCCCAGGACTGGGCTCAAGGCCCGAGAGCAAGGAATGCGGTAGATAGAAACTGGTAAATAAGAATGTTAAACAAAGCCAGTGTATTCCTTTTATCTGTTGGAGAATGTAATACGTGGGGGGAGAGAAAGAATAAAGGGGAAGGTGGAAAGCTGACAGGCAGAAGCCTGTTAGCAGACCAGCCGCTTGCTTGCTAAAAGCTCTGTGCTGTCTTGTCATTGAACCGCCACAATCTGCCTTAACAAATGAAACACTTTTGCAATTCAAAAGTATATGAAAAACACAGTTGAAAAGAAATCAGTACAATGGAGGATATGCAGTCAAAGATGAACATTTATTAACTATGGCAAAGGGCCCAATGGTGTATGTTGTATTCTGGCAAACATAATCTGTGTTACTAACTTTTCATCATAGAAAGTAAGAAGAGAGTAGGAAAAGGAACCTAAAGATTAAATCTGACTTTTGTTAATCTAAAAAGGAAACAGTGGAAAAACATACTGGCTGAAATCCTGGCTCCAGTGAAAACAATGGCAAAATTCCGATCAAATTCAGTGAGGTCAGGACTGGACCCATTGTGTCTAATCAATTTCTGGGGTAACTCCACTGCATGAAGAGAAGTTACGCTAGAGATTAATTTGACCTATGGTGTTTATTAACACCTTCCTGGATCAAACAGGACTGTGTGCTTCAAAAGGTGGAATTTCCCAAGACTCAGGGCAGAACTCTGGAACACCACAAGGAATTTATCATTTTCCTCGAGTCTACCAGGACCAGTGATAGAAGGCTGCTTCTTCAGCCAGAAAGACATCTTTGCCTTCCAAAATGGTGAGATGCTTACCGTGACTTTGTGCAGTTGACATTACACTGTTCTACTTTGTATCTGCCCAGAGAACACACGCTGCACCAGCTCCTAGTTTGCCAGAACCATCACTGCAGTGTGTTCTTCCCAGGAGCTGCCTAGAGGAATTTTGGCTCAGGCAACGATCATTCCTCTTAAGTGCTCCTACTGGAGACCAAGCCCTCTACACTCTCCACCCGTGCAGGTAATGTCTGTAAATCATAATGCAATCCATACTACCTTTCACACTTGAGCTAGCCCCACTGAATATACCCCCCAAGAAAAAACCTAAACAAACAAACAAAATGTTTTCTTATAGTTCCCAGGACAAATGTCAGACGAAAGTAGGTAAAAGAAAGATTAGTAGAAACAGTCAGGTTATTTCACACCTAATCTCATCTACCAGAAGTTGGTCACTTTCCATATAGTATTAGAATATGGCATGGCCTTAAAGTTGTATGAAACTTGTGATCAATTATAGCCACAATAAAAGCAGAAGAATTTCTGCACGGTGTAGTTCTGTACACTTTCATTAATATTTCTTTGGGGGCTAGTGAAAAGAAGAAAACAGGGTTAAAAATCCCAGTCTCTCAGGGCCTCTTCTTATTACAGACTGCAAATAGAGAAGAGAAAGGAAGGAACATTTTCAAGCAATCTTTGTGAGTTGCACTGCTCTAAAGCCATAAAAAACAAAGATAGCACTATGACGTTGAAATAAAGCCTCACGCTACCCTATGTCCCTTGGCCCACGCCGCTTCCCACAGCCCCCATTGGCCTGGAGCGGCAAACTGCGGCCAGTGGGAGCCGCCATTGGCCGAACCTGCGGACGTGGCAGGTAAACAAACCGGCCCGGCCCGCCAGGGGCTTTCCCTGAACAAGCGGCGTCCCAAGTTTGGGAAACACTGTGTTATTGGGCTCAAGCCACTGTTATTTTCAAAGAAGGCCCCCGAAGATATTTTGAATTCAGCTCTTGTTGCTCCAATCAACACCTGGCAGGATGATTACATCAAGACCAGCCTCTGAACAGGTCCTACGGAGCCTGACGATGCTACAACAACTTTAATTATCATAGATAGGAAATGTGGTTAAATGAGACGAAAACACACTTTTTCCCCTCCTGTGATGGCAAAAGCCCTGTAGCTGTTCATGCTCTAAGACAAAGAAGTTGATGCTGGCTTCGCTGGGTATCTGTTCACATGAGGGATTAAGTTATGAGACAGAGGAATAGAGCTGGAGAAATGACTGTACAATCCTATGCACACTGCTCTGACTTTCCCTAGTGCAGCAGGCTGCAAAGCTCTGTAAATCATAGTAAACAAGTATGCTGATCGATCATATGCTGCTGGACATACAATGTCTGGAAGATACTATGCCAGAGATAAATTGAACCTCTTTCCAGGATTTTATATTGCCCCAGCGTATTCTAAATGCAAAGCAGAAGTCACTTCCTTACAGTATTAAGCCTCAAATTATTTTCTTGCATGCAAGCCATGCGTAATGGGCACTGTAGAACAAAGCATGGAGATGACCATGGGAAAAGCAGGCAGACAAACATTTCAGGCTAAGATCCTTGGCAGAGCAAAGAAGCTGAGGGAGGTTCACATTAAGAGTGGGACTTTAACTGAAGAATGGAAGAGAGCAAGGATGGGGGCTGGAATTGATATGGGAAGCTGGGAGGTGAAGGGAAGAACTTGGACTTCGGGAGAAACTGAGAAGGGCAAGGATTCTCAGGTGTGTGTGGAAAAGAGGACATACTTGGAAGCTGGGATTTGTTTTGTGGTTTGGGGGGTTTATTGGTGGTCTGAGAGGAAAGAGGGGAGAAATAAGTACTATGACATGAGAGAGCATTGCCACTGCTTGTCTTTGAGGTAGCCTGGGGCTGAAGAGTAAGGAAGGGGTTGGAAGACGCATTAAATCAAGTTATTTGCTGGGCAGACGGCTGGTTTCTCCAGCAGTGGGTCCAATTTTGAAGACCCTTCTCTGGCAAAACTCCTACTGACTTCAATAAAAACTTCACTGCTACATCCATGGTGTCCAACTGTGAACTCGCTTACACCTGTAAGAATCAGAAGTACCTCCACTGAAGTCAACAAAGTTGCACTGATGTAAAACTGGTCAGGGGAAGCGAATCATGAGTATGTGAATTATCAAAATGAAAACACATTAAAAAGGTGCTCTCCATATTTTTAATATCTTTGTTGATACCCACAGTCTGAGGTATATTGCACATCATGCAATATTGTAGATGCACATGATCAAGATTCTGGCACTGTTTTGGCGTGCATAACTCAGGACAGCCTCGGCTATGTCAGCAACACTGCCTCCATTTTCACCAAAATTAGCATGAAACAAGTTTCAAAACTGAAGAAAGTCAGATTTGATTTAAAAAAAAAACAGGTTTCACTCTTATGCTTATGAAGTGGGGTTAGAACAAAGTTAAGCCTCACCATGATGTTGAAAAACCATTTCCACGTGAACGGTGTCCCTCTTACAACTACATCCTATTTTCGAGAATTGCACGTGTCACCACCAGCTGTCAACTTCCAGTTAGCAAAGCCCTGAATTGCCTTAGCAGAATGACGTGCTCATGTGAGTCACAGCTCACGCTATTGTTCATTCAGTTTTGTCTCAGTAATTTGAACTAATCGAGTCAAATAACATAATGTCACAGAAACTTGGGTGTAAACAATTTCTGCTTCTGCTTTAGTTTCTCATCTTCAATTATCAGCTCAGAATAATCACCATTACTGTCAGAACTGACATCAGAGTCTACAGCAGTATTTATCTTATTCCCAGTTCTTATTTCAATAGTCTCATTTACATATTTTATCTATTTTCCACGTTTATGTCTCATTCTTGATATTCTGTCTAAACTAAAAGTGTGTTCCCCCATACTGTACTTATCTCTTTTCTGTATTTGTCTATTCCCACTGCATTTTTTTCTTTTTAATATCAATCCTTTTATTTTCAGGATTGTATCTAACCAGGTAAATTCCCTGTTTGTCTCTTTTTTCCCCCTTCTCCTCCTAATGACTCATTATCATAACTTGTTTCTTCTCACTGACTCTCTGAATGACTGCTCTGCGCATGTGTCTAATGAAGAGTATTGCAGGCAATCGAAGGCTCTCAGCAAGAGAGTGCCAAACTGCCAGACCCCAAATCATCAACACCCTCTGTGAGCTCTACCAGAGAATAATGGCAGATTGTGGTTTTAGCTTGCCCTAATTTGGGATCCAGAGTGATACTGTGTTCAGTTTACAGAGAGCCACTTCTGCTGCTGCTGTATTATTGGAGCAGTTTTTAGAGCTACACAGTATCGATACAATAAATAA